TTCAGCAGGCTGCCCTTTCCCATGCTATAGAAATGTCCTTCATTCCTTATTCTTAAGATGTGTTAACCACGGGGGAAAAATGAGCTACATGAAGCATGTAAAATTACTAGCTGCTGTCCTACTGCAGTGGATGTTGTAAATTAGAAAATTATTTGAATAAAAATAAAAAAGAAGAAAACCTCCCATGATATATATGTGTACTCTGAGAATGCTGAGATTTATTGGCCTATGTTAAAAAAAAAAGGCGAACAAAAAAAAACAAACCCCAAAACCAAGACAAAGACCTTTTCTTGTCACATGTGTAAGGAGTGCTAGGATTTGTCAGTCATAACCTGTATTGTGGTCTGCAATGCACAGGACAGAGACACCCACCTGCATTTGTGCAGAACTCAGAAATTCGGGAGATTTGCTTCCATGCAGGAATATGTGCCTGAAAAGGGCGCATGGCAGGACCAGGGTAACAGCTATCATTTAACTTTGTCATATTCCAATTCTTTTTCAAAGTCAATGCTGCATGTATTTAAAAATATTTGTGGGAGGCATTACATTAGTAAAAATACTGAATTAAAGTTTATATACTAAAGTTGCTGAGAAGAACATCCAAAATGTCAATCAGAAGCAATTATTGAATGTCTCTACTATAAGCAGATAAAGATTTAAACACTGATACATTTGCTGAGATTGAAGGTGTTAGTGGTTGATCCAAGCAAGACAGTGTTAGATTGGGAAGCTGTGAAGAACTGAAATAACCTACAGAGAGACAAAAAGCTATTTCAGGATAGCTGCAGGTTGTTTGCTGTGCTTTATCATAAACGCCACTTGTAATCTGTTTATTTAACCTGAGAAAAAATGAAGCAGGAAGAAGTTTAAGTTTGTGGAAGAACCCCACTTGACCTCTTAGTAATCTTCTGCTGAACTAATTAACTATAACAGTCTTTGGGCAGCTACTCAAGATGCTTGATGTGTGCTCCAAGTGTCACAGATTTCAGAGAAGCAGGAAGAACATTTGCAGGAACACGCAGGGGGTGGTGAGGCCACAGTTTTGGGTCAGGATGAGTCAGGGATGGGGAGAATTGTGCAACTCCTGTTTTGGACATGGGAAGGCAGCTTTCCTCCCTCTGACACAGAACTGTTAGCTTTCGAGCATGCATTTACAGACCCCAGCGCAGGCTGAGTGGGAAGCTTGACTGCTCCCTCCTGTCTCAAAGTAAATGAACATTACAGAGGGAATGCATAAAAACCTAAAGATATGCCTCTACCAGTGACTGGTAAGTGACTTTTGCTTGTTTAAAGGCTGGTTTATTGGGTCAGAGTAAAGTCATAGGAGGGAGAAGCATTGAAAAGACCACCCAGTGAGAGAAACAGGCTTTTTCATGTCTCACTGGAACCATGAATTCTTTACTTTCTGCAGTAGTTATAGGTCACTAGGGAATAATCTCCTTTAAAACTTCCTATGATGTGTTAAGGCAATGCACAGATAAAGCATGGACTCAAGTTAATCTTACATTTTAATTAGTCCTAATTATTCAGTTCGGTGTATCTTATTTGTTCAAAGACAGTATTAATGGTTGCCCAGCATTAATATGTGAGGAGTCTTCCTTTCTGTGCCGTCAGGCTGCTGCACTCTTCCTCCTTTTAGATGCAGTTTAATGTCTGCTGTGTGTATTTAGTACATGTGTGCATGTGTTGGAGAGCAGGGGACAACTCTTCCCTTCTAGCATAATTTTCTAATGAAATAAAACTCATACAGCCGTTCCAGCTCTTCTGCATGTCTTCCTAGTTTTCCCCCACACCTAATTCCTAGATAATTTCTGAACCCATTGGCCACTTTCAAACCAAATGTTTGGAAGGCCAGTAGAAGACTCAGAGACAATCATACTGCTGCAGGTACATCTGCTGAAGGTAAAGCCAAGCAACACAGACCTGCTGGACCTTCTGTTGGGCCACATACAGCAGCCACCTCTCTGTGCCCTGCTTGGATGCCAACCCATGTTCAGTGCATGAGGCGTGAGAAGGGACAGGTTTTCGGGAGGCAAGAAGGATCTGTTGGGTCTTCTGCATGGGAAGGTACTTCCTTAGTCCCTGGAATCAGCATAAGAAATAGTTCTGATTTTCTGTTATTCATTAGCAGAGTTAATGTCTAAAGTTCT